CGAACAAAACATGGGAACACTGAATGGTTTAAAATTAAGAAAGGTTGTATTCTTTTACCATACGTATTCAACCTCTATGCTGAGCAAATAATCTGAGAAGCTGGGTTCTATGAAGAAAAATATGGCATCAGGATTGGAGGAAGACTCATTAACAACCTGCAATATGCAGATGGTACAACCTTGCTTGCTGAAAGTGAAGAGGACTTAAAACGTTTACTTATGAAGATCAAAGATCACAGCCCTCAGATGGATTACATCTCAATGTAAAGAAAACAAAAATCCTTATCACTGGATCTATCAACAATGGAGAAAATATTGAAGTTGTCAAGGATGTCGTTCTGGCTTGGCTCAACTATCAACACTATTGGAAGCAGCAGTCAAGAAATCAAACGACGTATTGCATTAGACAAATCTGCTGCACAACACCTTTTTAAAGTGTTGAAGAGCAAAGATGTCAGCCTAAGGATTAAGGTGCACCTGACCCAAGCCATGATATTTTCAATAACCTTGTATGCATATGAAAGCTGCACAGTGAATAAGAAAGACCGTAGAGGAATTGATGCTTTTGAGTTTATGGTGTTGGAGGAGAATATTGAAAGTGCCATGGGCTGCCAAAAGAACCAATAGATCCGTTTTGGAAGAAGTGCAGCCAGAGTACCTCTTGGAGGCCAAGTTGGCCAAACTTCGTCTCTCCTACTTCAGACAAATTGTCAGGAGGGACCAGTCACTGGAGAAAGATATCATGTTTGGTAAGGTGGTGGGTCAGAGAAAAAGAGGAAGACTCCCAACAAGATGGATTAACCAAGTGGCAGCATCGATGGACTCAAGCGTGGCAACAGTAGTAAAGTTGACTTAGGATCGGGCAGTGTTTTGTTCTGTTGTGCATAAGGTCGCTATGAGTAGGTACTGACTTGATGGCACCTAACAACAACAACTATAACAATGAAGAACATCTTTTCTTTGATATAACTATAAAAAAAGAATGTCTTTGGAGTGGATTGGGCATGTATTGCCTCAGTGTGATCTGGAGAGTAAGGAAGTACATGTGTGCTCAGAAACAAAAATAAAGAAGAAGAAAAAGAAAGAAATTCATATACTTCTCCATTCTTAAAAAAAGGAAGTAGTAGTGACATCACCTTCTAACTAAAATTGAGCTTGTTTACAAGTCAAATAATTACATAATAGAATGCCTTCTTTAGGGTTATGAAGTAACTAGGATGATTAAGAAGAGTTTTCTTATAAATATTATATAATTATTTCATTCATCCAACAAATATTTCTTAAACACCTATGATGTAGTAGATTCTGGGGACAAAGTAGTAAGTGAAGGGAAAGATAAAATTTCTGTCCTCAAAAAATTTTGAGTTGAGTTGGGAAGAGGAATTAAAAGAATGGCATACATAATACTTGTTCTTTTATGTCAATGAGTTGGTTACAACTCATAGGAATGCTAAGGGATCTGAGAGTGACTGGTGGGTTTGAACTGCCGACCTTGAGGTTACTAGTCCAATGCTTGTTCTACAGTTGTTGGGGTTGTTAAGTGCTATCTAGTTAGTTTTGACTTATAGTAAGTCTATATAGGGTTTCTGAGGCTGTAGCATAGTGGATACGAATCAGGCTGCTATCCTCAGTGTCAGCAGTTCGAAACTACCAGCTGTTCCACAGGAGAAAGATGAGGCTTTCTGCTCTTGTAAAGATTACAGCCTCGGAAACCCTGTATAGGGTTACTATGAGTCGCACATAACAACAACAAATCTTTATGAGAGCAGATTTTCTCCCCACAGAACGGCTGGTAGTTTGTAACTGCTGACCTTGAGGTTAGCAGCCAGACTCGTTACTGCTAAGCTACCAGAGAAAGTGGTAAAAACGAGAGGAATATAGTACCAAGAGGAGTTAAGAGATCTACTTAGGGAGGAAGGTCAGAGAAAGCTTATCCATTACAGAAGTTATGATTCACCCAATGAAGACCAGACGTTGACTGGGAAAAGAGTAAAAGAAGTACAAAGTAAGGAAAGACCACACAAGGGAAGTCTGATGTGGAAGTGATACAGGGCTTGTTTAAGAAATTTAGAGAATGGGAAGAGGGAAAGGAAATGTTATAGGACAGACTGGGACTTAAAAACATGATAAAAAATTTACTTTCTGTCCTATTTTAAGAGCTATGAGAAGCTGTCGAAATATTTCCATCAACTGGTTGATATAATTAGGCCTACATTTTGAAAAACTGATTCCAGCTCTGGTTTTAAGTAAAAGGACCCAGAATAGCTTTAAGAGAAGTATTTAAGAAACTCCTGCTCAAGTTCTGGCAAGGTATAGTGGTGGCAGGAAAGGAATTGACTGCACAGTAAATTTCTAATTCAACCTTTCCATTGCTAAAGTAGTTCCAGCTTTGGTGAAGCTGTTAGCAGGCAAAAAGATGCCCAGCCTTCCTGATTTTATGGTCCTTCCTGCATCATAAACATGAGAACTGGAAGGTACATTTTCCTAAAAGGCCAGAGACACCTTCAGTGCTGGAAAGGACAATAGTGACAACTATACAATTCATTATTCAACCAGGACACATCTGAAAGAGAAAGGGCTTCTATTAATAATTACTGTCAAAACAGAGGTAACGCAGGATTACCTTAGGCAAAGCTGGTTGCCTTAGAAAGAAGGAAAACGACAGTTTATCCTATCATATTCCCTTTGCTATTATTTTGCAGATTGCAATGCAAACATATATATTTAGCTTACTCCAAGGTCACTTTTATTTTTATATTTTCTGCTGTATTTAATACATTCAGAAGATAATATATTTCTCTTTATTATTCTGTGATTGCTGATCATTTACAGTTATCCAGGAAAAGACCATTCTTGAGCATTGATACTCAAATTTGGAGGCACCAACCAGGAGCTCCTTAGAAATGGATAATCTTAGATCCAGTCTTAGACTTACTGAATTAAAATCTTCATTTTAACAAGATTTCTAAGTAATCCACATGCATATTAAAGACTCAGAAAAGACTCTTCTACAGTGAGAAAGCATTTTATAATGTGACTGTGCATGCACATACATATGTATATTGTTGTTGTTGTTGTTAAGTGCCGTCGAGTCGGTTCCGACCCATAGCGACTCTGTACAGGGTTTCCGAGGCTATAAATCTTTACGGGAGCAGAACGCCTCATCTTTCTCCCGCGGAACAGCTGGTAGTTTCGAACTGTTGGCCTTAAAGTTCGCAGCCCGATTCGTAACCACTACGCTACCAGAGCTCCTTGGGTGGTGAAATCAGTTCTGACTCATAGCGACCCTCCAGTCATGCTCCATCTTCACAATTGTTGTGCTTGAGCCCACTGATGCTGCCACTGTGTCAATCCATCTCATTGGGAATTTTCCTCTCTTTGCTGATCTTCCACTTTACCAAGCATGATGTCCTTCTCCAGAGACTGGTCTTTCCTGATAATATGTCCAAAGTATGAGAGACAAAGTCTGGCCATCCTGGCTGCCCTTCTTCCAACACAGACTTTGTTTGCGCTTCTGGCAGTCCGTGACACCTTCAATGTTCTTCACCAACACCACAACTCAAATGCATCAATTCTTCTATGATCTTCCTTATTCACTGTCCAACTTTCACATGTATATGAGGTTATTGAAAAATACCATGGCTTGCATCCTTAGTCCTCAGATTTATGTCTCTGTTCTTGAACACTGTGAAGAGGTCTTTGCCACAGATTTGCCTAATGCAACATACATCGTTTGATTTCTTCCCTTCTGCTTGCATGAGTGTTGGTTGTGGATCCAAGCAAAACAAAGTCTTTGAGAACTTATATTTTTTCTCCATTTATTATGATATTATTTATTGGTCTGAATCCTCTCCTGGTGTGGTGCTATAGGATATATGTTGGACTTTTAACAAAACGGTTGATGGTTCAAACCCACCAACCACTGCTCAGAAAACCTATACAGGGTCACTATGAGTCAGAACCAATTATAAGTCATTTAACAACAACATTTATTGGTCCAGTTGTAGTCTTTGATCTTCATCAGTAAGTATTTTAAATCCTTTTTATTTTCAGAAGGTTGGTGTTAAGTGCTGTCCAGTTAGTTCCGACTCATCTCAACCCTGCTAAGGAGCAGCCGGTGGGTTTGAACTGCCGACCTTGTCCAATACTGATCCTACAGTGCCACAACCGGAGTCCATGCTTTCAGCACAGTGTATGCATAAACGAAATAAAAGTTGAATGAAATGGGTAGGAACCTACTCTATGGCTCCTAGCAAAACCTACGGGGGGGGGGGGGAACAATCATAAAATAGGTTTCAGTATACTCTCATGGATTGAGAAAGTAGTTTGAAAAGCACAACTCTAGAGCCTCTAGAAACAATCCAAAGAATAGGATGGGGCCTGGGAGGCGGCAGTAGGGAGGGAAGCATGGGGATGCTATGGAAAATATAGGGCTAAGTTCAAATTCTTTCTGAAAATGCTTGTACTTATTCATTCCTGAGTAAATGCTCAGAGAGAAGCACTCCAGAGTGGTGTAGGAGGGAGGAGTGGGGCAGTTGAAAGTTTACTAAAGTCCTGAAAGGGGCTGGTCTAGGGGAGATGATTGACAGCCACGCGAGAACGCGAGGGCTGGAAGCGGAGGAGAGGGAGCAGGCTCTCCGGCGGCGGGAGGTCCTGCCCAGCTGTTGGTGAGGAGTTTCCTGTTTCCCCCGCAGCGCCCGGGTGAAGTTGAGTGAGTCACTCGCGCGCACGGACAGACAACACCCCCGCGCGCGCACATGCCCTGGGCAGGAGCCGGCCTCCTGCGCAGCTCCCCTCGGCCGCCGGGGGCCTCCCCGCGCTCCGGCGACTTCCAGGCCCCCTGCTAGCTCACTCGCGGGCGCCACATCTGGCTCGCACATCTGCCCTGCCGCCCGGCGCGGGGTTCGGAGAGGGCGCGGCGCGGAGGCACAGCCAGGAGCCGGGGGAGGCGCCGTCCGCTGCGCTTGGGGCTTGGTCTATGAAGAGCAGCGGGCTTTACCATGGGTCGGGGGCTGCTCAGGGGCCTGTGGCCGCTGCACATCGTCCTGTGGACACGCATCGCCAGCACGATTCCACAGCAAGTTCAGAAGTCGGGTGAGTGGCCCTCAACCTGGGATTGGCGGGGCACCGGGGGTCTCCTGGCCTCCCCGCCCCTTCTCTGCGTTTGACAGTCGGCCCCGGGAACTTAGCGCTAGAGCGGAAACGGGGCAAGTTTTCCTTCGCTGCACCCAAGCAGTCGGACTCTCAGAATCTCAGGGATGCGGGAATTTTCCCTTAAAAAGAGAAAGAAAGTTAAAATGGAAGGGGGCTCGGAGCACGTTTGGTCCTCTTTGTGTAACTAGGAAAGACGTTGTGTTGGCTGCGTCCGAGGCGAGCCCCCAGCCCCGGAAAGGGAAGTTTGAGAAGTTGGTGATCTGAAGGTGACTGAGGAACAGCGGCCCGGTGCGGCAGCCACTGAGGCCAGCCTGGCAGCTCTCTCACCTGGGGACACCGCAGCAGCGATGCTCACCTGGCCAGGCCGAGCGCTCACTCAAGTTCCCTCGGAGAACACCCCCTTATGGCCAGTTACTTATCCCTGAGATCCTGGAAGTGGTTATACGTCCCGTCAGCCCGGCTCCTGAGGCCTGAATACTGGAGAAAAGTTTCAAGAAAAGAAATGATTTCCGAAGGAAAGCGATCTGTTGTTATCCACTTGGCTTGAATGGCTTAGGAAGTGGGGATGGTCAGGTGGAATGAACAGAATTACTCTGGGAGCTTAGTGGTTACGATCGGGCTTCTAACCTCAAGGTCAGCAGTTCGAAACTACCAGCCATTCAACGGGAAACAGATGAGTTTTTTTGCTCCCATAAAGATTTATAGCCTCGAAACCCTATATAGGGTCTCTATGAGTAGGAACCATCACCACCACCAGATGCTAGATGCTGGGAGTGTTGCCTTCAGGGAATTGGTTCTCTGTAGTTTTCTTTTGGAAGTGTTAACATCGTAAAATGACTGCACACTAAATCAATCTTGATCTAGAACTTAAAAAAAAAAAAAAATTGCAGTAATTGAGAACAGAATCCCTGCAACCTCAAAGGTTGTGCAGCTATAGTCCATAAAACTGAGTATCTGCCGCTGCTATGGTCTGGGTAACTGAATCTTATAACAAGTCGTCTAATAACAAGTTGTCTAATCTTTCTGGGCTTCAGCTTCCTGGTCTGTCAAATGCCATGATTGAATTTAGATAACTTTATGTTCCCTTTCTCATTAACATCCCCCCCCAAAGCCCTGATGAGTTGGAAATGAACTGTGTAGATACAGGATGAATTGCAGAGGATGTTGACAGCTCACATTCACACTTATTTACCATTGGGCCCAAACTGACTTAGGTTTGAGTGGGAGAAATATGGAGGAGAGTCTACATGGTAAATTTCACAGAGATTTTTAAGCAGATTGGGAACTTTAAAAAATTATGGCTTGTATTGAAGGTGGCATGGGCTGGGAGTTTTTAGTGGAATGAGGAAGAAGCACTATTGTAAGCAAAATATTGTAACATATTTGAGTTCTAGGGTTTAATAGAATCTCAGTGTTTCCTTCTTGGATGTTTTCCTATATTTGTAGTAGCAGTGTGCTCAAGTGTCTTTGATTTTACAACAGACTCTTAAATTCTGAGCTGTATTTTGGTAATAAATATTAAAAATGACACCCCTACTTTTATTTGTACATTAAAAATCAATAAAACTTTAGTTTTAGATTATGAAAGAAGGAAATTATTGGGCCCTGATTTTATTAGTCTATATGAAATAGGCTTTGTTTACAAGGATAAGATTTATGATTTGCAAATTCCAGACTCAATAGTTTATGAGTCAGGTTCATTGAATCTATACATACACACATTTAAATAATTAGCTCTAAAAGCCTAGTTGCTTTTTTCCTGATTTAAAAAAAAAAGCAGTTTTACAAAACCTAAAGTTTTTATATTTTTATGGAATTAAAGTTTTATAATGTTTGAGCCAAGAGTTACTTTTGAATTTCTAGTCATCTGAATCAAATTAAGTTTTTGAAGATGGTTGAAAGTTGAAGAAAAGAATAGTGGAGGAGTCTAATTCCACTTGTATTTTTAATTTTTCATGTATGAAATTAGTTGTAGAATTTTTCCTAACATAATTCAGAATATCTCAGTGTAAGATAAGATGAAGAAATGACATTGCATATAGCCTCCAATTAGGTCAGCTGAAAGAACATCTTCTTTTTAGTAGGTTGATGCATGGGTAAAGAACTTCAGTATAAGGACAAATTTCACTAATTAGTACATTTGTCCATTTTTAGCTTTTGTTTTAGACTTAGTAGATTTACTTTAACTAAATGCTTAAAAATAGAATACTTTTTTTGAGGAAACCTACATGTCTGAAAACTCTTCAGATTTGAAGAGTATGCTTTTTTTTTCTTTTCAGTAGATTGTACCTAAGAGAAGATTGTTGCGTAAACTGTAGATAAAAATGTCAAAGGATTACGTTCTCTCTGATTGCTTCAGTCACTTTAACAACACATTTGTACTGTGAGGGTTAGAAACTGGAAACCAGTAGGCCCATATTGTGATCTTTGGTATGTTTACTTTTATTTTCATAAAGCACATTTTCCCCTTCAGGCCACTTCCTTTAATAACATCTTACTTTTAATCAGTTATGGCTTATACAAAATACGAATTGTATTTTGAATTCAGTGCTGACTTTTTGAGATAGCATTGCATGGTGGCAGCAACTCCTTATTGCCTGAGAAATTAGCATAACTGCTAACTACTTTCTATTTCAGTTGACTATTTACTGTTGCTCAGTAGCAACATGACTCTTAAAATTTTTCTTTAGGTTCATTTTTCTAACCCTATTTCCCCAGTTATGAGTGACATTGATTGGTGCCATTGTAAAAAGTGGCTATTACTCATTCTTCCCTTCCAGCAATATTTATTGAGAGGCTACTTGCACCCTACAGGACACACACCATCATGAATGAGTAAGACTGACATAGTCTTTGCCCTCATTGAGTTTAACATCAAGGACAGTGTTGTGAGCCATGAGAAGGATACACATTTTAAACCTTTGTACTCTGAGCATTATTAAATATTGGTGTTCTATTTTCTAGGCTCCCCACCCTCATCTTCAAAAGTCCATTCTTTGTTGAATGCACTAGGAGGGTGTGCACAGTGAATATTGGCTTCTCTGGCCTTCCAACATGTTTTTTCCATTGACCAGTTGTCACTTTTCTACTAATGCCTGGTTACAGGTCCCAGTTGGGTCACCTTTAATTCCATTCTCCAGTGAAATTAACCAGTATGATGAACCCAATATGTCTATTCAGTGTTCCCTTGGAAGACAGACTGAGATAGAAGAATATATGGTACCAGTTTTGGAAAAAGGTCATCCTGGGTTCTAAAGCCCACATTCCATTCAGTTGTTGTGTCAACTGTTGCATGTTATTTTACTGTCTTTCAGTGCCCTCATTTTTAAAGTGGGAATTACAGAACCTGCTTCATGGAGTTATATTGTTGTTGTTAAATGCTGTTGTGTTGGTTCTGACTCATGGCACTCTCTCTGTATAGGGTGTCCAAGGAACGGCTGATGAGTTTGAACCATGGACCTTTTGGCTAACTTATTGTTCTTAAGTGCTGTCAACTTGGTTTCAACCCATAGTGACCCTGTATAGGGTTCCTGGGGATCGGCTGGTGGACTTGAAGCGCTGACCTTGGCAGACCTTATAGTTCAAACTGACCTTGCAGTCCAGTCCATTATTCTGCAGCTCCACACCAGGACTCTTTCATTATGTTGTTGTTGTTAAGCGCTATCTAGTCGGTTCCTACCCATAGAAACCCTGAACAGAGTTTCCGAGGCTGTAAATCTTTACGGGAGCAGAAAGCCTCATCTTTCTCCCGTGGAGCAGCTGGTAGTTTTGAACTGCTGACCTTGGGGTTTGTAGCCCGATTCGTAACCACTATGCTACCAGATAGGAATGATTAAATAAAATTATGTTTTAAAGTGCTTAGCAAAGTACCTGCAGCATAATAAGTGCTCAGATAATTTCACCTTATATTATTATGAGTATTAGCTCTTTAACCTGGCCCATTGAACCTCGCGACTTTGCAGCTTGACATCACACCAAGCTCCACACTTTCTCTTATTGTTGATAACATCTTCACTCAATTCCTATCACATGCTGTGTGCAGATTAGCTTTTGCTTAAGCTAGTACCTCTGTATAGAACCCTTGCTACTTGGCTAATTTTCATTCATCTTTTAAGACCTAATTCCAGGTGTCATCTTTTTTAGGAAGCCTGCTTGGAATGTCCCAAACTGAGCTAAATGCTCTTTCCTGGGTCTAGGCCTTTCTAAGTTCTTAAAAATAGTAAGCTGAAATTATGTCTTTATGTGACTTCTTGCCCCTCAGATATTTTGGTATGCCCACCTGATCAATCAAAGGTGTGTCATATTCGTATTCTCCAAGGCCTCATGCAGTGCCTGGCACATCATTTGGTGGTAGTGGTTATGTGCCATGGAGTCGGTTCCAACACATAATGACCTTGCATAGGATTTCCTAAACTGCAGATCTTTACGGGAGCAGAAAGCCTCATCTTTCTCCCTCAAAATGGCTGTTAGTTTCGAACTGCTGACCATGAAGTTAGCAGCCCAACTCATAGCTACTATGCTACCAAAGTTGGTGGTGGTGGTCCTAGTGACCCTGTACAGGGTTTCCAAATCTGTAAATCTTTACAGGAGCAGAAAGCCTCATCTTTCTCCAGCGGAACAGCTGGTAGTTTCAAACTGCTGACCTTGAGGTTAGCAGCCCGATTTGTTAGCACCAAAGTTAAGTGCTGCACTGTGCCTATACGTCATCCTGTTGGGGGTAGTGCAACCGAGGAATAGCATTTTTTTTTACCAACAGTGACTGTTTTTGAGAGTTTGGTCTTAATATTAAAATCTTCACTTTCACTGAAAATAGTTAGGCTTTCATGTAAATGAGTAAATTGACTGTTTTAATAGTGTGGAATTTGTTCCTTTGTTCTGATGGCATATGGAAAAAGCTCTGAACAATTCAAAGTTTTTATCTAACCCCTTTAACAGTGTTG